CAGGTGGTCAAAGATAAACAAAGATGGACATACAGCTGAAAGCTTTACTCTCACAGTTAAAGTAGTGAACATGTTTTATTCAGTAACTACTGACAAGGAGGAGAAAGGGCTGTGTGCATCATTCCAACTTAAGCAGGGGTGATTCCAGCGTCTGAAAGGGAGAATGAGCGAAGGAGAAGCTGGTTTTCAAGTAGCAAGAGGAGTAAAAACTTGGCAAGGAGTGTTCTGTGTGAAGGAAACTAAGTCAGCTGAGGCTGCTGGCTGGCAGTAAATCCCAGAAAGACTGAGAAACTAGGTCCTTCCTGAGGATTATGTTTCAAAAGAAGGGCTTTCAGGTCCTAAAGAAGACACTTCAGAGTTGCAAGAGATACATATACATCTCAAAGAGACAGAGGGAGGAGTCCCAACTTTAAGTCCTTTGTAAACGCTCTAAAAATAGGATGTCCGGAGCCTGTTGTCAGTCACGGGTTAGAACAAACAGTAAATTCTTTAGTTGGCTTGAACTTTCTCCAGCTGGCATTTTAATGGGGTGGAGGGAGTCTGAGATCACCCTAGGGACACAACTTATTGTGGGTAGACATAATGCCACATTGTTTTTTAATTTTCACACACTTATTTTTGCATGTCAGCTCTAAAGTCACTTTTCCCATTCCAGACAATCCTTGTGTGATTTGGATGAAGTCTTATTATGTTGCCCCTCGGTAGAGTGCCATCAAGTCACAGTTCATAGCAACCTCAAACTCTTGGGCTTAAATGATTCTTTTGCCTCAGCTTCCCAAGTAGCTGGAACTACAGGCATCCGCCACAACACCCGGCTGTTTTTAGAGACGAGGTCTGGCTCTGGCTCTGGCTCACACTGGTCTTGAACGTGTGAGCTCTGGCTATCCACCCACTTTGGCCTCCCAGAGTGCTAGGATTACAGGCAGGAGCCACCTTGCCTGGCTGTCTAAGTTTTCTTTAAAAAAGAAAGCTGGCTGGGCATGGTGGCTCACACCTGTAATCTTAGCACTCTGGGAAGCCAAGGTGAGTGGACTGCTTGACTTCAACAGTTTGAGACCAGCCTCAGCAAGAGTGAGACCCCAGCTCTCAAACTAGCAGGGCATTATGGCTGGTACTTAAAGTCCCAGGGATTTGGGAGGCTGAGGCAAGAGGATTGCTTAAGCCCAAGAGTTTGAGGTTCCTGTGAGCTGTGATGTCATAGCACTCCCAGTAGGCTATGGGGGTAGAAAGAGCCAAATAGGTAAACGGGAGAAAAACTGCACTAAAAACCCCATCAAGGGTTTTGTAACACTATTTTTTTTTTTTTTTGAGACAGAGCCTCAAGCTATCCCCCTGGGTAGAGTGCTATGGCATCACAGCTCACAGCAACCTCCAACTCCTGGGCT